TTTGTTATAAGATTTTACTTTGTGATAAATTTGCCCTAATAATAAATAGAAAGTCTCCATCCACATCAAACACCTATTCCAGAGGAACAAATTTGTAAACAAATTAGTATAATTCTTGAATTGAARTCAGGGGCCACACAAAATCAGTTGCCAAACTTTGGACATCCCTGCCTAAAATAAAGAGTAAAAAGTGCTATAAGGTTTCACAAATGCACACCTCCACATTTTCAGACTGCATTATCTAAGACAAGAAATAATTCTCCTGTTATAAATAAAAGTRTGAGCTGTTGCATGTCACGCCTACACAGCAGAAATAAACACTGCTGCAGTGTGACGCTCTGGTTCCTCTAAAATGCTGAATCACAGCACGGCCATTGTCTCAAACTTGTGATTTCAGGAGCTGCGTGGCGAAGTGTGGCAGTACTCCAGCAGCCTGATGTGCTTTCTGAACGGCCGTCTCCTTGGGGATGAGAAGCAACTTGCCAGCTGGGCTGAGAATCAGCGGAGTTTCACTCTCGCTCAGCCGCAGACGYTTTATAAAGCTCTCGCTGAGGACTACTATATCAAACACCTCAAAAATACAGGGGCACGTCTRGGTTTACTTCCTTTAGCTGACAGCAGGATTCTAACCTGAATATGACTCTGCAGAAACTAACATGTCATTCTTGAGAAAAATACTGAAGATACTTTTGTTGTATGTTTCATTTTAGCACCAGTTTGTCTTCATGGATATAGATGTGGCTGGAGAAGCAGTGGGGAGGTTATGGTTTGAGGTGAGGCAATCCGAACACTCAGAGCATCCTTTACAAACCAATCTCACTGACAATCAAATAATCACTGCAGGGTTGAACATGTTTAAATTTTTTTTCTCCTCTTCAGCTATTCTCCGACGTGTGTCCAAAGACATCAAAGAACTTTGAGGCTYTGTGCACAGGAGAGAGAGGACTGTCACAGAGCGGACTGCCGCTCCACTACAGGACATCGCTGTTTCATCGAATTGTGCCCAACGGCTGGGTGCAAGGTGGAGGTGATGCAGAAGCAAGTCATCTCTTGTCGTTAAAATTCATTCAATAAATGMCCAACCMGAACCACTCTGTTCTGACACATCAGTAACCGCGCCTCTTTACTTTGCAGACATTTCTCCAGGCAGTAAAGGTAACGGTGGCGAGTCAATCTATGGACCAACGTTTGAAGGTACAGCKCTTGACCGTGATGACAGCGGTGCGTTTCATCAGATTTACTCACTCACTGTTCACCTTTCAGATGAAAGCTTTGCTGTCCCCCACTCTAAGCGGGGAATTTTAGGAATGGCCAACAAGGGTCCCCACAGCAACGGGTCCCAGTTCTACATCACCTTGCARCCAACTCCCTGGATGGATAGAACCTATGTTGCCTTTGGGTTTGTGTCTCTAACTGTATTTTAAACACACTTACCTTATTATCAAACCCTTATCATATTACCTCACTTATATACTCTTAAAGTGTTTCTTTTTCTGTTTATAGTCAGGCGATTGAGGGTGTCGAYGTTCTGAGGAAATTAGAAGAGGCTCCAAGTTGCAATGAAAGACCAAAGTATGAATGTAAAGTGACGGCTTGTGGAGTGTTAAAACTGTAGCACCAAGACTTTTATCTCTTACTTTATGCTTTCCCCCTGTGTTTTTGATGCTGTAAATAAAGCTGCAGCACAAAGATGAGATCAGTTTGTTTGTGGTTTAATTATGCATTTCTTTTTAATTACAAGACTGCAGCCTTTATTTACTAAGAGGAACATTTTTTTATTAGAGACATATGCATTTTTGTTTTCACATTAAAATAATAAACTAGCTTCATTTTTCTACAGCAGCTTTATTGATCTACAAATAGATGAGAAGAAGTGAGTTTTCTTTATTTATAATTTGCCATAAATGTGTTTTTAAAAATATGACTTTTATGGCAGATTTGGAGACATCAAGCTGGGAACAGGTAAGCAAACTATTAGCTCAATAATAAAGGAAGTCACTGAATTTTAAACACATTTTTGTGAAAACTTTGTTCATACCTATAATTTTGGTACTAAAATGACCGCGCAGGAAGCTAAGAGTTTTCTTTTTCTGGTTAAAAATTTGTGGCTCTTTCAAAACTTAGCTGGGAATATTTTAAAAAACTTATTTTAAAACAAGCAGCAGACATTTTTGAGATGAACGTTATCATTTAGTCTAGTTTATTT